CATAATGTTTTACTAGCATAGATAAATTTGCAGGTAATTTGGAATCACAAGCTTGATAAAAATGTTGATCTGACGACACAATGTCTTTTACCTGATTGGAAAGTGTTTCAAATTGTTCTTCGAATTGCTGACATCTATTTCTGAGCTCTTAAACTTCCACTTTGAGCTTTCGTTTCCTGGGAGTGTTTAGTGACAAGAGCTGTGTTGTTTGGGAAGATGTTGAAAGTCTCAAAACTGGCGATGTCCCAGATTCATTACCTAAAAAAATTATATTATTATTTATTAGTCCATTATCTATAGACATAATTAATAGTATAATTTGTTTGCATGTTTTGCATTTTATTATAAAACAAAAGGTTAGGTATATATAAATTTTAGTAAACTTACAAGTAACAGAAATCGATTGATTTTCTTTGGATGGTGTACTTGTGGCAACTGATGAATCAAAAATTGTTTCATCAAGACAATTGTTACCCACTGTTGAATTGTCTAGTCCAATTTCTTCGACAGATACATTATGACATTCCTCTACAAAAATAAATTAAATTAAAATTACATGCAACAAAATTAAATCAAGATACACATTTTTTTCTAATTGTAGATTGATCCGGAATATGTTTACTTTTGCAAAAATGTGTTAAAAGTTGTATTATACAATTTCCATAAGGGGATATCAGCAGCTAAAAATGCACGACATAAATCAATAATCTCTCGTGTAAAAATGAAATTATGTCATTTATTTTTTTATTAGGTGAAATGTACACAACAATCATCATCATTCACTTCCATTTTCTACTTTAACGTGTGAAGCACACATATCGTAAAAAATATATCGTGTAAAAATAGCCATACATGCTTAAAAATTGAATATTGTTTTAAAAAATCATGTTTATTTTGTTTAAAAATAAATGTTTGTGAGTGTAAATATCAAATTATATTCCCAAGAAGTTACTTTAAATAACAAAACTATTTTGGGCATTGTTTAAAAAGAAATTAATTATATTCTTTACAACGAAGTAATTGACCGTATTCGTAAAGAAATTGGAGAGGACAAAATAAAAATACATGTTTCAATTGTTGAAACTACAGACGTTGACGGAAGGTACGTTGCTAATGTTTTAGTTGGTCTTATGCACGAAGACAAATGATCTAATTCGTATTTATTAACATGCGAGGAGCTTACAAAATGCAATTTTCAAACTGTAGAGAAATTACTTCACGACGCTTTAAATATACTTTGGATCAACGAGATTAAATATAATAAAGTTTTTAATTTTTAACTGGCGCATGGTGAAAACGGCCGATTCTCTAACTGTATTGTATCCAGATATGATACATGTAACATGTGTGGCACATGGCTTACACGGGGTGTGTGAAACGATAAGGCTTGAATATTCAAATATTGATAACATGATAAGTTGTCTGAAATAAGTATTTTTAAAAGCTCCGATTCGTGTGTTCAAATTTCGATAATTATTTCCAGAACTAACTCTACCTCCACAGCCTATACTTACCCGATAGGGAACTTAGCTAGAAGCCGCATCATATTATGCTATTGCCTATAAATCCTAGCCCTCGTGATTACTATTAGTGTTAGATTACAATTTAGGTTTCTGTAACATCCTTGATATCTCAAACAATATGACAACTTCGGAAATAAGCATTGCGACATAATACAATAGTAGTTCGTCCTTGCGTTCTGTCGCTCCGTGCGAAACCTCGTGTTTTTCTTTGCCGATGATCTGTCCGACCGGCAGTCTCCAAACAGATAAACGTTAATAGCAAACATACTCGTTTTCCACGTTGGCGGTCGCGTTTGTTCACCGTCCGTTCGTGCCGCCGCAATACCTCGTGTGATACCTCGTTTCATTGCCGACATCCACGACATCAACGAAGACGCTTGTCCTGTCCGCTGTTGCCGTTTCAGCGAGGGACCACCGGACCACCAACCACTCACCAGTAGCTGTTGCTGTCGCCATTCAGGTAATAATATATTATTATAAACAAGTTCAGTGTTCAGTGGGCCAGGCCAGATTGTATTTTCTATCTAGTTGTCATCGAAGTATTTAGTTTGCAAGGATTTTAATATTTGAACGCCCGTAATTTTACCGTCATAAATGAATGCATAGTACAAAAGAATATCACTGTACGTCAGATCAAAAGTTTTATTTTCGAATCAAATTTTTTGGGTGACCCTTCTCCGCTCCCGTCTTTACGAGTTCACGAGTCGTTGCCGCCGACTGCAGCAATTGTAGGATCGGTAACGGCGCAAACAGAAATATCTGTTACATGAAACGAAACATGTGTTGTTTACCTATATAGTTTTTATAAATCGGAATGCATAGTCCTAGAGTGCCTAAAAATAATACACTGCATTACCTTTACCTAGTCATGATTTATCAAATACCAATATGAATACAAACAGACAAACTTTTATATAATGCCTAACCTAATATATATTTTTGAAAATAATAGCTCTTAATGTTCTCTACAACATATTATTCGTCTCAATACAATTTATGCTGCCGTGCTGTAGCGTGACACCGTACCGACAAGTGTCGCGGGTCTACAAAAGAACACAACTATGAACACTATAAAGAAAATACGTACTCTTGATTCATGTGTGTGTGGGGGTTTCTGTGACTGTCAGCCGTTTGGCGTTTTCATCCAGAACGGTAAACCACTTGAGTTTTGCCATTGTCGCATTTTTTCTTCACTCTGTCTTGACGTTATATGAGTATTATACAACAGGTGCTGATGAATTATTGCTGCGCGTTTATATTTCATCATCCATTTTGATTTATTTATTGTTTATAATTGCACTTTTTGCATGGTTGTAGTAGTGTCCATATTCCACGTAGTGTATTTATTTATTTATTTATTTATTGGTTGATTTAACGGGCTTGAGCCCTTTGAACATATGATATAATAAGTTGACAAATACAAGAACGGAAGCTTAAATACTATGATTACAAAAAACAAAAAACAAAGTACAAATAGAGAAATATAACTATTACTTACATGAAAAATAATATAAACTTTTAAACATCGTTAATGCATCTTAATATTAATAAAACATTGAGCTTAAATTTATTACGGCATGAATCAAAAAAATCTATTGATGGGGATATTTTATTATCTAATGACAGAGCGCGAGGGAAAAATGAATTGGCACCATAACTTTTTCGATAGTAGGGTATGACAAATGAATCATTAGTCCTGGAGAAAAAAGTGGGAACCTTGATACCTAATAAAGCCATTAGATGTGGACAATCAATGAAACCATTTAATAGATCATATATAAATAATAAATCAGAGAGTTGTCTTCTTAGATCAATCGAATCCAGACCTATTGAGTGTTGGACGGGTTTAAATAAATTACTAGAGATAGGCTTATTAGAGACATAAGCTATTCTTTTCAAAAATTTATATTGGACCGCTTCAAGATCATTCAAGTACGTAGACAGGTTTTGTGACCAAATTATGGATCCAAACTCTAGTGAAGATCGTACGAGCGAGCAATATAAAGTTTTCAAACTAGAAGGCTGCTTAAAATGTTGTGTATTCCTATTAATAAAACCTAGCATTCTATAGGATTTATTTAAAATGTTCTTATGATGGAACTTAAAAGAAAAATCTGATTCAAAATATATTCCTAAGTCTTTAATCTCAGTTACTCTGACTAATTTTGTATTATTAAGTTTGTAGTTAAATATAATTGGGTTTTTGGAACGGGTAAATGAAATAATGTTACATTGTCAATGTTTAATTCAAGACAGTTATTCACGCTCCAAGTATAAAACTTATTTAGCTGATCTTGTAATATCACAGAGTCTGATGTAGATTGAATCGAGCAAAACAATTTAGCATCATCCGCAAAAAGCAATAATTTTATAGAATTATTAAAAACCCGAGGCAAATCATTAATGAAAACTAGAAAAAGTAGTGGACCCAAATGCGAACCTTGAGGAACACCTGATGGTACGTGAAAATCATTAGAGACATGGAATGAAAGTTTAACTGATTGAGAGCGGTTACTTAGATAGGAGGTGATCCATTTTAAAAATAAACCATTAAAACCAAAAGACTTTAACTTGCATAATAAAATGTTATGATTCACCTTATCGAAAGCTTTTTTAAAGTCTGTATAAATTGAATCAATTTGACTGCGGGTATCTACACGTTTTCTTTATTCCGCGACTACATTAATATTGTTGTCCAGTAACTGCTGGATATTGTTTTGCATAGCGTTCTTGTTTTGCCGTCCACAATACTATTTGGAGTGGTCACGCAGCTGCTCCCAAATCACCGGGAAGCAGGAGCCGTTGTTACATTATTTCAATAGGTGATATTCGGTGATATTATAATATACCGTGTTGAGACTCATAGACAAGAATACTAATAGATAGGCATCTGCCGTGTGTTTGTTTAGAATATTGAAAACAGTGCTACCTGGTTTTTAATTTCTAGAAACATCGCAGTAAATGTGTATTGGTACCTAGGTAAATATTTTGGTTTGGAATTTTCCCGCCATTTTTAAATATGAATATAAACATCTTAAATATTATTTACATACATAATCGTATTGTTATTAAACCGGATGGTGCACTTCTCCCATTTACTGATAGCACGAAAATTACCCGCACGTTACATCGTAATCAGCCTTATTTTCCCTATACGCGCTATTAGTGGCGATAAGAATAATTGTTATCACTTATCAGGAATGTTGTTTGGTTCTAAACAAACATATTTTAACGATGGATTGAATTATAAAAATTTGATTTTTAATTTATTCTTATGATTATTTACTCCTAATGGTTGAATATTGGCACAAATTTAATTAAGATACCAACTTTTATCACTTGAAACTATAATACCTGAATTTGTTCACCTTTAACTGGTGGAAAAATGTTAACAGAAAGTTGTATACACACTCCTAGTAGTAAAATTTTAGCTTTTTCTTGCTGACTGGTCGCTGAAAGAGTGTTTTACCTTTAATAATGGCTGGAAATCATGTGTTATCCATTAGTAGTTTTTTTAAAGACAACATGAAACAATTTAAAAGAGGTGAAATAGCGGATAAAGATGGCCATATACTGAAATTCCTGGCAGATTTAGAACAAAATATTGTTGTAGGTGATGTCAAACCAAGTATGAAAAGTGATCCTTACAAGGTTAGGATTTTATTAAATGAAGGTAGTATATCTGATGCCCATTGTTCTTGTTCGGAGTTGCAATTTGTCACCATATTGCAGCTTTGGCATTGTATACACATTATAACATTAGTTCAACTGACAAAGCTTGCTCATGGAGTGCAAGACCAGTTAATGTGTCTAGTCATATAAAAAATATTAATGATATGTATGGCACATATAACACTCATTAGTTATGCATTTTTTTTGTAATATTTTCAGGAAGGAAGGAAGGAAGAAATACAATTTATAATTTTAATTTTTTTTTCAAGAATAAAAACATTTTAATTTAATGACATAAAAGTAAAACCTTTTATTATAAAATTAAAAATATACAGGGTGTACTTTTAGAATACAGTGATTGAAAAAATATAAATTTTTAACTTGATACAATTCACAGTAAATATTTTTTTTGATATGACAATAAAATCAAAATAACTTTAACTTTTTAACTCGTTAATGCCCAGCCTTGTATACATATTTACATTAGGTATATACATTACTCTATACATTTTATACATTATACACATTTATATATACATTATTTACATTATATATACATTATTTACATTATATATACATTATATACATTATTTACATTATATATACATTATTTACATTATATATACATTATTTACATTATATTATATACATTATTTACATTATATTATTATAGGAAGGAAGGAAGAAAGAAATTGTTGAAGGAGATAAAAGACTATTGGGATCTGCCAAGAAATTCAGTTAGGCCATTTTCATATGACCTAACTAAACTCTTGGCAGCCAATTTTCTGTTCTTGTCTTTTATCTCCTTCAACAATTTAACATGCCCATCCACACATTGTGGCTGATAAGGTCGAGAATATCTTAAGGGAACCATATAACTTTTTTCACCTATATAGTGATTTGATTATCTTAACGAGTAACGACGCGTCGACACTGTCTCTACCTACTGTTAACAATAATTTTTATAATATTCTGTTTACAATTATTTTTTATTGTGTTTACAATTATTTTTTATCCGATTTGTATTTAATCATCAATATAATTCGCTATGGATAGCAGTGATGATCAAGGAATTGAAGGCGTAGAAGCATTTTCACCAGTACCGTCAACACGGGTGAAATGGAACTTGAGTGGTGACTTGGAACAATATGACTTTTCTTTATTGAATTTGATAGAACTTCTTGAGTTTTGATTATATATCGTTTATCATTCCATGATATTTTATGTTGTTACATTTCCAATCAGAAACATCTTATCATATTTTTTGATATTTCTTATCATTAAACAGAAATTAATGTACCAAATTGTTATCAAAAAAACGCTTTTTTTGTAGACCAAATTTAAGTCACCAAACTCATACTGTTCGAGGCACAAAATTCAGGTATGCATATTTTTTAATTGATGTACAACAGTTTTATTACAAGCTAATCTAAACATTTTTTAAATAGATTCATTATCTGATTTTTTAAGAATGATTTTATTTTTCAGTGTCTAAACAAGGGTGACTTGAAACATGCCGAACCGATACAAGAGACAGCCAGGTAGTCGATCGTATCGAAACTTCTCAGATGAAACTTTACAAAATGCAATTACTGAATTGAAAAATGGTAACTCAAGCTATAGACAAGTTTCAGCAAAATATGAAATTCCTATAAGTACGTTATGTAGGAAATATAGCAAAAAAAATATGAAGAAATGGGGTGGTCAAATAAGTTTGACATCTGATGAAGAAGGGGCAATTGTAAGTACAATACTATATGCTGGTGATTGGGGCTACCCATTTGAAAGTGTTGATGTTAGATTGTTGGTCAAATCTTATTTAGATCGACAAGGAAAAAAAATTAAAAAATTCAATAAGAATTTGCCTGGCCACGAATGGTATAATCTTTTTATTAAGCGACACTCTTCTTTACTAAAACCTAGGCTAGCTGAAAATATTAAAAGATCTAGAGCAGCTGTATCAAGAACAGTCATAAATGCATATTTTGATAATTTAGCAGTAACTCTGGAAAACATTCCACCACAAAACATTGTTAATTATGACGAGACAAATTTCATTGACGATCCTGGTAGAACAAAAGTTCTGATTCGTAAAAATGCAAAACATGCTGATTCAATAATGGATTCATCAAAATCTGCAACATCTGTCATGTTTTGTGTAGATGCATCTGGAGGCATGTTACCGCCATATGTAGTTTATAAGTCCCTACAGATGTGGGAGCCATGGACACTAGGTGGACCAGATGGATGCCGTTACAATAGATCACCTTCCGGCTGGTTTGACCAATCGATTTTTGAAGATTGGTTCCAAACTATCATCATTCCTCACTTTCGTCGATTAGAGGGTACAAAGGTCGTTATAGGTGATAATCTAGCAAGTCACATTTCTGTGAATATAGTCAAGTTATGTAAACAACAAAACATTAAATTTGTATTTCTGCCAGCCAACAGCACACATTTAACCCAACCACTTGATGTTTCTTGTTTTCGCCCCATGAAAATAGCTTGGAGGAAGGTGCTAAAAGAACATAAATTAAAAAAAAGAGGCCGGCTTACCAAAGATATTTTTCCTAAAATACTAAAAAGTACTATTGAAAGACTCAATATATCACAAAAAGACAACATAAAATCTGGATTTGAAGCCACAGGTATTTACCCATTAGACCGTCAAAAAGTATTAAACAAGCTTCCAGATAATGAAAGTCCAGCTTCTATTGTAGTACCTCAAGCAATGCATGATATGTTAAAAGAATCAAGATTTGGATCTAACGATGGTGTGACTAAAAAAGGAAGGCGTAAGAAGTATAATGTAGAACCAGGCAGAAGTGTTACAGAGGCAAATATGACAAGAGATGGAGACAATGAACAAATAATGGAAACTGACCAAAATGATGAGACTGAAGATAATCAAATAAATACCATAAAAAAGACTGAAGAAAATAAGACTGATGAAGATGATGACTATTTATTAAATCAATTAAATGATTTTATAGAAATCAATTTTGAGACTGATGATATAGTATTCGAAAAAGAATATAATAGTGCAGATGAAACTGTACTAAGAGTAGTAGAATTAGCACAACAAAATCAATATGCAATTAATTTTGAAACACATGATTTTGTTTTGGTAAAATTTGAAACGCTTAAAGGCAACTTTGAAGAATTTGTTGGACAGATAAGTGAAATTGATGGAGAAGAAATAACTTGCAAGTTTCTTAGGAAAAGTAAAAGTATGAGTGGATACTATGTATTTCCATTCATTATTGATGAGGCAACTGTTACCAGAAACCAAATTATAAGAAGACTAAAATTGATCTCAGAAAAAAGAGGAAATTACCAGTTTGAATGGATAGTTCCTACCTAGGTAATAATAAAAGTTAACTTTCATGTGTTATTATTAATTAAGTATTATTTAATTGTAAGTACCTATGCTATAAAATGTTCAAAATATGTTTCTAAATAAATATGTTTATGATCTGTTAAAGCAAATTTTGTACAATTGTTTTTTATAATTATAAGTTGTTAAAGCAGATGCTGTATAATTTTTTTTTTTATGTTTATATGTTGTTAAAGCAAATATTACACAGTTTTTATTTTATGTTAAACTACCTAACTAAATTAAAGAAAATAAAATCATAATGTTTCAGTAAAGAGAATGTGTTTAATTCATTTTTTATATAATATTTAGGTTACCTATTGACTTCTTTAGGTTATAATATGTACAAAGATGTTTTTAAAAGCCTTATTTGTGTTCCAAGTCAAACCTATAGTAGGTTAAATGCTCAAAAACATTAAAAACACCTTACTGTTTCATGTCACCCGAAACTCAAGGTGACTTGGAACACTCACTTTTTATTTATTTTTTAACCAAGTTATGGTTAAATTTCATTTTTTTTTATGCAAATGTAGTCATTTATACTGCGCGCCTATACTAGATTTTTTTCAGATTTAAAAAATTAATATTGAAGGTGTAGGAGCCTGGAAAAGTTAAAAATCGTGTTCATTTCACCCGTGTTGACGGTAACAAAGAATACACGAGGAAAAGTGAGTATTATATGAAATACAATAATAGTTATTCTTATTACATAAAACTTATGACACAAAAATCAAGTTGTCAAGTTTTTTGAGTTTTCGCGACTCGACTGTATTTATTGTTGGTTGTAATTATTACGAAATATTATAATTGAATTGATGATTAAATATTTTTTCATATATTTTCAATAATAAAACGAAGTGCATTAATTTTTATTTGATATTTTTTAATAATATTTTTGTACTAAAAATTTGTATTTTTTTTTTTTTAGATTTTAGATTGTTGGTTCACGTGAACGACTACGCATTGTCAATATGTACAAGACAATTATTAAGGATGATCCAAGTATGTCAATGAGGCAAATGAGGGCGACAATTTCAAAAATAATGGGCGTTGGTGAATCAACAGTACATAGGACCATCAGTAATTACAAGGAAACTAAAACGGCAATATCTCCAAAACGCAAGAGAGTAAAAGTACAAGTTACTGAAGAGTTCAATGAGTTCGCACGGAATGCAGTCCGTAGGCACGTACACAGTATTTGGTTCCGATGCGAAATCCCTACGGTCGATAAAATTCACAAAGCTGTGTCTGATGATAAAGATTTGCCAACCGTATCGCGAACTAGTATTTTTAAATTATTGAAGGAATTAAAATTCCGATACGTTAAAAAAGGTCGTAACAGTGCTCTAACAGAAAAAACCGAGTTAATACTTTGGCGAAGAAGGTATTTGAGATCAATACGGAACTATCGTGAAGAGCAGGGCTCGTAAGTTCATGCATCTGCATGTTTTTTTTGCTACACAGGAAAACATGCTAACTGTGATACAAATCCGTTTCATAACAATAGTAATAATAATATGAAGTTTGATAGTGCATGTTTTTGCATGTTTTGGGTGTAAAGTCATATTTGGCATATAGTTGATTTTTTACAGTCATTAGTGCATATTATTTCATAAAAATATTTTTTAGACAAATATTTGAAAAGTTTCTTCCGATTTTTGATATCTTGTTCCAATCGTCCAATATCACATGGTAAATTATAACGGTTTTTTAAATTTTTTATTGATTAATTATTTAGCTAATTCATAAAAATATCGAAAATCGGGCTTCTTACGATTGTAAAAAAAGTTCTACTCTACAATTTTTATAATAGGTATTTTTACTGTAAGCTACTTCAATAAGCCGTATTACTTGAATTATGAAACCATGGTTTAATTCCATATTTTATCTACTAGTGCGCCCTCTTAAGTTGGAAAACATAAAAAATACACTTATAGAATATATATTACTAAATTATCTCAAAATGAAAAACCTAATATTTAATTCCAAATGTTTTCATTGTTGGTGCTGAATAAGGGTGTACACAAATTAGACAAAAATGTCTACCTAATTAAAATTTATAAAGATGTCAAAGCTATTTGAACTTCACAAGTATTAATTTTATTTTTTATAATATTAATTTTGACTGTTAAATATATAAAAATAAAAAGGAATAAAATACTATTAAAATGTATGGATTTATTCTTATTATTTTAAAATTTGGTCAAGTTTTTTTTTACATAATGCATATTTTGAGTTCATAATTTAAAAATGTGAAGGCATATAAATGCATATTTTCGAACTTTTAAGTGCATATTTTAATGCATATTTTGACAATTTTTAGTGCATGAATGCATGCTTATTTATGCATTTTTAGTGCATGAAGTTACGAGCCCTGGTGAAGAGTGTCGCCATGTGTATTATTTAGACGAAACCTGGGTGAATGCTGGTGACTGCCCAAATTATGAATGGCGTGATACAACAATAACATCCCACCGTGACGTTTTCCTAAAGGGAATGTCAACCGGCTCCGTGAATCCGTCTGGCAAAGGCAAGCGTCTAATTGTTCTTCATATAGGGTCCGAAGATGGTTTTGTTGACAATGGACTATTGTGTTTAGAATCCAAGAAGAACTCCCGCGATTACCACGACGAGATGAACGGGCAAACATTTTTCGAGTGGATGGAAAATATTCTACCTCGTCTAAAGGATAACAGCGTTATATTTATGGACAATGCGTCGTATCATATGTCAAGTTGGACAAAGCACCGACGGCGTCATCGAAAAAGGCCGATATTATTCAGTGGTTGGAGAATAAGGGGAAGTGGTGGATAGAACTATGATAATACGAGAACTTTTAGACATCGTAAAAAAAATTAAGCCGCAACATGAGAAATTTGTTATTGATGAAATCGCCAATGCACAAAATAAAACAATTTTACGTCTGCCGCCTTATCATTGCGAGCTTAATCCGATCGAGCTTGCTTGGTCATCGATCAAGAATCATGTAAGAATGAACAACACTACATTTAAACTACCTGATGTGAAAAAACTTTTAATGGAAGGCATAGAAAGAGTAGATGCAGATATGTGGAAGCATTTTATAAGACACACGATAACAGAGGAAAATAAGTTTTGGGAAATTGATGACATTATGGACGAGGTGTTTGAAGCGGAGCGACAAAATTTAACTTTAACTATTACTGGAGATACGTCATCTGATTCTGAGTCTGATACGGAGTGAACTATTCTTATAATATGTAAATATATTTGTTTTTAATACCGGTTTTTTTCTAATATGAAGATTTTTTTAAATGTATTATAATTAGGTATGTCTATATTTAATAAAGTAAAAATTAAACATTTTATATTACGTATATTATAACCGTAAGTGTTTTATTACGTGTTATTTTTAATTAAATATCTATACAGCATACCTAATATCATGAATATATAATACGACTTAATAATAATAAAATGTATACAGTAAGTATTTTGGATCAGTAATGGACTGTTGCGATCGTATTGAATTTATTACAAATGCTTTGTATACCGTATTAAAGTATAATATTATATTGATGTAATTCGTAACAATTATTTTCTATAACATTCTGTATGCACGGCGGCAGTTGACTACTACGACGAGCACCGCCGATTGCCGAACACCACCGACCAATCACAAACCACCTATCTCCGACGTGGGGGGTCTGAACGTTCCGGCGGCTCAGTATGCATGCGCGCAAGTGGGTCAACTTACGGCAAATAGAGTATAGCCATGTAGGTATACGTATTTTAAAATGCTGTTCGTATAGGTTCGAAATTAAAATACGGATAAACGTCATTATATAATGACGTCATACGTACGAATATAAATATAGTACGAAAAACATCCGTATGGCCAATGATTCGTATATCTTAGTTTCGTATGGTTGTACAAAATACCAAATCATGTTCGTATACGAAAAAATGTGTACGAACAATTGTGTGTACGAGCAATATTCGTATGACGTACAAAATAGACCCCCAGAAGTCAAGTATAAACCTTCAAGATTTCCTAGTTGGTTTTCTAGAGGTCTAAAGTCTATTGTTTTGGGGGGAAAAAAAAGAATCATGCGAAGTATAAATCAACTCGGTGTCCTCTTGACAACTCTGAATTTTCTACTCTTCGGGCGGAATATAAGATTGAGTACAAAAAATGTCATAGTAAATTGTTGTCTCGCACTGAAAATCAACTAAATAAAAATCCACGTTCCTTTTGGGACTTTATAAGCAAACATAAATCTGGCACTGGAATCCCTAATTCAGTCTTCTATAACAATGTAACTAATGCTGGGCCTGAATCAATTCCCCATATCTTCTCATCGTATTTTAAGTCAGTCTATCTACCAAATTTCAATAATCATTACGACCCTGGCACTCCTTTTTCCATCATAATTTACCTAGCGACTGTATATTTTCTGTTTTTGATGTTGATGTTGGTCTCTCTGCTTTAAAAAACGTTAAATCTACCGGAAATGATAGCTTATCTGGTACTTTTTTGTTCAACATCAAATCGGCCTTTTGCTATCGTCTATGGTTGCTATTTAGGCGTTCTTTGGATTTGGGTGTCTTTCCAAAAATGCTGAAAATGAGCTCTGTAACACTGATATTCAAATCAGGGCATAAGTCTGATGTAAAAAAAATTATAGAACAATTTCAATTTTAAGTCATATTGCCAAGTTGTTAAGCTACTGATGCTACGGAGTATTCAACCATCGGTTAACAATATATTAATTTACGAATAATATGGCTTCAGACCTGGCCCCTCATCTGTATCGAACTTAATTATACTTAACAACTACATCCTTAAAACTTTCGAACATCACTCTCAGGTTGACGTCATATTCGCGGTCTTTGCTAAAGCTTTCGACAGAGTCGATAACCAAACTCTCATGGATGTTCTGTTCAAGTCGGGATTTGGTGAGCCTCTTCTTTCATGGCTTAAATCGTACTAACGGGCAGAGTCCAAT